GTATCATAGTCTCTATGGCAACCATAAAACAAAGGTAATGACACTTTTAAAATACCAGTATATGAGGGCACTTGTTTCACTTCAAAACGGTCACATAAAACTTTCATACCTCAGCTATAAGATTGAGATTGCTCGCAACCTTCTCTTGCTGTTTGGAAAGCGAAACAATTCCCGGTTCACCTCCTTTACCTCTTTCAGCACATGATTCAAGTACTCCAACTGACTTTTCATGTGTTGAATTTGGGACTCCATGCGACCATCTTCACTCTTGGAAGCAACCTTGTTACAACCAACAATTCCAGAACTCATCTTTGTTTAACAAAGCTTGAAAAACCACCAAAAAAAGTAATTGTGCTTTTGGAACTAAACAAAGAACTCCTTGTATGCTTGAACGAAGTAAGTCGTTTGATAAAAACCCCCCCTAAAGAACCAAAGGAAGGTTCGAATGATACTCTCCCCCAAAAACAAACTCTCTTGTGCTTTTAAGAGCACTTAAAACTCTCGAAAATCAGATTAAAGAGAAGAGTGCTCCCCTTTTTTACCCTAGTGATCCCGGCAACAACAAGAAGAAGAAGAAGAATGGAGTAGAGTGGTGTGATAATTTTCGATAAACAGCATCCCTATTTATAGAAAATGCAAGTCTTTTTGAGAAAGAAAACTCCTACAAGATAGGAACTAAATTTTCTCAAGAATATTCCCCCCTATTTGATAAAATTTCAGTCGACCAAATGGGATAAAGAAGAAGAAATTTTGGCCAGCTTGTTAAATAAAAGAGGTAAGAGTCCTAAAACTTAGGTAATCATAATCCCTTTTGGACACAACTTATGAACTATGTCATAAAATAATGAAAGATTCATCGCTACTATTTAGAGATAAAAATTCCGTCCCATTCCTGCAAATAGGACACAAAAACTCGGCCAAAACACAAGCAAAATTGTACTAAAAGACTCAAAAGTTTTCAGATTAAGATAAGACTTCCATATCTCTAAATTTTTGAAAATAGACTCACTATAAAACTCTAATTATAATCTCACCGAAATTATAATTTGACTCATGCAAAAATTAGTATTTAAATCCAAATAGGACTCAGATAAAACACACAATAAAATCATAAATCAACTATGACTCTAAGGCTGAAAAATTTCGGCCAAATGGAAACATAATTTGACTATGATTATGACTCAAACAAGTAACCAATGTTTAAGTTTAACTTGGACTTGTAACCCTAATTTTTCTCTTAAAAATTTCGGCCACCTTACACATACAAGAATTCAAAACCAACTAGGGTTAAAACTCAACACAAAACACACGCATACACATGCATTAATTCAGCAAAAATTCGACATTTAACTTTTACAACATAATTAAAATTTGAAAAATTACTTTTGACTGATTTTAAAAGGAATCTCGGAAATTACCACTTTCTAAAATGTTCCAAAACTCTTAGAATACATTCTAAAAACCTCTTTTACATGTTGTATATGGAATTGACAAAATCACTTTTCACCAAACAATCAATGGCAAATAAAGTAACAAGAACACAATAAGTATAATGAAGTTGGAATTTTACATTTCCTCATTCCACTATGACGTTTGCTTCATAATACTCAATTTAACACAAACCATTTAGAAACTCCATGACTCAACAAGGTCATATTCATAAATGATCATTTAAAAATCAAATTTTCCAAAGACCAAATATGTAAACTTCAAGAACACATCTCAAAGCTTAATAAAGACTCTTTGTTCATAGGAAAAATCTTTAATAAAACTAAGGTTTTAAACACAAGTCAAAGATTTAAATCTCTAAAGTTGGCACAATTCAACTTTGTAGACCTTTAAACTTATGATACCAAAACTTGATATCTTAAAATTCATTCTCCATCAAGATTCATTCTTCATCACTTGATTAAAGAAAGTTTGAAAACTCTATTAAGAATCATGGAAAGTCCAGTGATAGCAAGATCCACTAATTCGACTCATTCTCAAAGTTATAAACTTGTGAGATACCAAAAACCGACATTTGTTACTATTTAAAAATCTTTTGACACTAAGATTTAAACAAAACAAAATAGCCAAATAGGATTGGAACTCTTTGAAGTTTTTATTAATTGAAAATTCATAAATTCCATTTTACTCATTAGATGCAAATGAGAACCAACAAGAAGGAAGGCTTTTTCATTTATACCTTTTATAGAAAGTACAAAATCACTAAGCTTCACCTTTTAAAGAATAGATCAAAGATATTTACCACAAGATAAACTCTTAAACCCTTCTCATGTAAAGATATTTCTTTAGAAAGAAAAGGCTATCTCGAGCAAGAAGCACTTCTTTGGCATCAATTCTCTCCTTAAAGATTCAACACATAAGATCCACTAACTTGCTCATAAGAGAAACAATTCTCTACTTCCAAATCAGGAATAAATTTCAAGATGTAGCGCTCACTTTGACTAGATACCAAGGTACCATTATCAAGATCTCGCATAGACCTCAAAATAACACCATAAGATCAAACAAATGTGTAAGAAGTCATACACAACCACACAAAAGACAAGATCAATTTTGAAAACGTAGTTTTCACAAAAATTTGATTTATTCTTTCAAAACTCATTCTGCAACAAGAAAGAACCTTGAAACAAATAAAGATAGTACTACTTGTTCGTAGCACAAATCTCAATTACCACACCAAGAAACGGATTCCGTGGTAACTCAAGATATTCTCAAAACCAAGAACTATGAAGTCCTTAATCAAAAGAAATCTCTTGAAACATAAACTGATACTAAAAACTGGTATGATAATATCAATTAATACCATCACTTAGATAGTTCAAGCTCTGATTTCGTAAATGAAGCAAATTTCATTGATGCAACCATCAAACAAGAAAGTGAAGATAATTTGTCTATACCGTGAAACTCAAAAGAGTGCCGAAAATTCACACTAAAACGATCGTATATCTAAGGATTTCTATCTCCTTAACTCAAATCAAGCAAAGAACACAAAATATATGAAAGACTCAAATTAAATAATAACCCACACTAGAATAGTAAGGACACCATTCAATATACTCGATCAGCCATTAATCAAGAGACTCAAGAAAGGTAGGAGCAAACAATGCTCAACTATGAAAAAATACTATTGATTAGTATTCTCCATAACCTACAAAGATATGCAACACAAACGCTATCTCAAAATGCTTATGCCAAAGCAAAACTCATCCAACAAAAAGTAGGACAAACCCCATAAAGGAACTCATGAACACACACATCATGAATTTCGAAAACCAAGCCAAAAGAAAGGTTGATCAATCGAACTACTAGAAGTAGTATGAAAATAAGAAGTTTAGTTTTAAAACAATTCTATCAAGAAGCATACTTGAATAAAACTGTTTCTGCTAGATCAAAAGATCCAAGACAAGATGAAAACCCTCTTGGTTAAATCATACTTGACAAATGAAAAATGGACACACCATTTAACAAAAATTCCTCAAAGGAAAAACTCTCATTAGAGAAGATTCAAAATGACCACACACGGGTACCTTGAACCTTAGACCATTCCCTCTATTTATAGGCTAGCTTTCATGGCCACAAAGCACTTGAAAAGAAAACCAATTAGGATTCTCTAATCTTATCTCTCGCAGGAGTAGAGTTAGAAGAGTATTTGATCTCTTTGACTATATCTAAAATCTCGAAAACCTTATCTAAATGACTTATCCTCAAATAGGATAATACTTAGAAGAAATCTAAGACTCCTAAACAAAATACTCTAGTTTAGTTCAGCCCACATGGCTTATCCTAACTAGTTAAATTCGAAATTAACTCCTTGACTTAGACAAACTCTAATACTCGAAATTCTACTCCCAAATATGGAAGTAAAATGTCTTGAACGCCCTTCTAAAAGGTGGAATATTGGTCTTGCGCTTCTCAAGTTGTAGAAACTCCAATTTACTCCAAAACTTATAAAACTCTCTTTATTGACTCCAAAAGAATGGAAAAACATTTGAAACAATTGAGATAGTTTGCACCATATCCAATTGTGTAGCAATGGACTCAATCTTGAACAATTTGATCAAATAAGTCGTCCATTCAAGAACCTAAGTGACTCTTCTCTCTAGCTTGATCAATGATCTTCATGGAGCACCAAGAGTAAAACTCCCTTGATACTCTTCAGCACTTATTTTCATGAGTGAATCATCTCATTTGGTTTGAACCCCAAAGTTAATGACATTCTCATCGTCTTGATCATAGCTTCCTAGAACCAACTCCCTATCACATAGGTAGTCAAGATTCATCCTTTCTTCTTTGATTGGCCTGCAAAATAAACTTGACATTCTAAAACTAGAATGAAGGATTAGCTCATTCTTCTCACTAGGAGAATCACCATAGAAGGTTATATGGTACTTATCAAAGGGGGAATGCCTATAGTGGAGCGGAAGGTAGATGGTTCATTTAAGGTTGAATTATTTGGAAGCAATTACATTTTATTCCTCTAGTTTTACCTTTAACATAAGCGAACTTCAAGGTTTATTTTTTATTTTTTATTTTATATAGAGACTACCTTAAGCTAACCAAGAAAATAAACCCTCAATGACATCAAGATTCTCGTTGTTAAATTACAAAATTACCCTTATTATTGTGTAAGTCAGTCCATCCCATTGTTGTTATTATTTTTGTAAAAAGTTCACTGTTTGTTTACAACATTGACATCTTATTACTCAAACTTATTTTTAAGGAAAAAAAATTAATCAAGTGAGTACAAATATTTTTTTCTTTGGTTTGAAATTTGATTATTAGACAAAAAAAAATTTTGCTCAATTTTGATAAGCTAAGATTTAAAACTTTATATTGTAAATATGCATATGGATTCGGATTATTATTGGAATACTGCAAAAAAATCTTCTTGTACTTAGCCTTTTTTTCCTTAAAAAATTACTACTTTTTTCTGGATTAAACTAATTATGTTTACATCATCCCAAAAAGTTTCCAGCTCTAACCCAACAACGTTTAATCCTATTTTATAATTCTTCTAGTAAAGGGTTAGATAGAAGGCTATAATTTTTTGATGTGGCCCCTAGTTTTATAACTCTACTTGGGCCTGTTCATTGGGTCGGGTCAACCGAGACCCGACCGAACCGAACGTAACTTTAGTTTTTCGATTTGAGTTGAATTGGTATATCGGTTGCTGTATGGTAAAATTGAACTAATGTATTTAATTTGGTGACTATTATCGGGCAATTTCATATCCACCCGAACTATCCAAACTCAATAAATTAGGTTTTCTTTCAACACTTTATTTCCCTCATTGTCAATCTCCAATTTCTCCTCCTCCATCATTCGTCACTTCATTATTAGCATCAATTTCATCGCCTTCATCATCCCCCTTCGACAAAATTTCATCTTCCTCTGCTCTGGTTATGCAATTATGGCCACGTCATCATCCTTGGAACCATTTCCTCCAATTCCCTTAACAAGATAAAAGCTTTCCACCATTTCCAATACCTTAGCAATAATTAGTTATAAGATTCTATTTAGAATGCTCATAAGATCGGCCGGTCATTTCTGTTTTTTGTATAGTTTTAATTGAGCTTCTACCTTCACATAATCGAACTGGGTCTGCTTCCTCGACTTACTTCCACGCACCCATGAGATGAAATTGTGTTTCCATGCACAATTAAATTGAAATGAGGCTTGCTTTTCTCTTCAAGTTCTTCAGTTGCATCGGTACGCTCCTTTCCTTCTTCTTCTTCCGATTCTTCAGGTACCATGAGAGAGAAGCATCGGGGGTTTCATTTCACCTGAATACCCGACCGAAAACGCGAACACCCGACCTAGTCAATCGGTTATGGATGAATGAACTTGAGTTTGGCGATCGGGTGAAACCTTTTGAACCCGAACACTCGAATGACCGAAATCAGAATACCCGAATACCCAATTTTCTGACCCGATGGACAGCCTTAACTCTACTATTACACCGTGATTTCAGAAGTTCAGGGACTTGTATATTATCGGATGTTTCCTAATGTTAATATAAGTATTGCTTTTTAACCAGGAAAAAAAACAACGTTTAACCTTATCAATTATCAACTGTTACAAAATTTAGGGTTTGTTTTGTTGAAGGAACTGACTGTAAAATGATCACTGAACTCAATTCTTCTCATCTGATCAAAGCTTCATCAGCAGAAATCGATTAGCTTTAAGCTTTCAGAAGAAAAAGCCCTTTTTTCATCTCACCAAAAACAGAGCTGAAAAACAGAGAAACTCGTCAACGTTGTTCAAAGATCAAATCTTTTTTGTCTCCTCTTTCTTTTTGAAAAATCAAGGTGAAATTCATGGTCTGTAATAGATGGATAATCTGGGTAAAGTTATCTGATGCCATGTTGCTGAATGGAGAGAAGAGAGCTAGTGTTTGTGGTGCGTTGGATTTGTTGATGATGGAATCGAAGGATTGTGAGCGTCATTTGAAGTCTGCAGAGACCTGTTTGAGAAAATGCTTGAATGAGCACAAAATGAAAGAACAAGGATCGAAGTCGGTTGAGGAGTCATTACCCAGTAATTCTGAAAATGTTCGGCGCCAGAAATTATGAGTTGACAAAGGATTGAAGAAGACTAATTACTGCTCTAGATGAAAGATGATTTCCTGTGTTGAAGGAATTTCGGAATTCATCGACCCCGGATATCAAATTAGTGTAGGGCGGCTAGTAGACTGTCAAATTAACAATTTCAGCATCATAGCAAAGCACTTTACATCAGCACAAAAACAAAAATGAATACGAAGGAAACTGCAAATGTTCATGTTTCCTAGATAATAAAGCAATGAAGAAGTCGTGCATCTGAGTAAGAAGTTAGGAACGCCCGAATTTACAGTGATGCACTGATGCTAGTCTAAGCAGAAACACGCAAAAGAAGGCTAAAAGTTTCAAAAATTTCAGATTTTCAACCTGCATATGTAAAAAAAGAAACCTGGAAGTTCCAGGAGGAGGAGATTCAAGATGAAGTTGCAATCCGAAATCACAGTGATGCAATCATGAGCCTACATTTTCTTCCTTGATCTTTCCATCAATACAACTTCTTTTAAAACTACTCCTACAATTCCTGTCATCCTTATCCATGTCCATGCCTTCTGCAGTAGCATCAAAACTTTTTCTCTAAAGTCCAATATTGAATTCCCTGATCTTTTCCTTTCTATCTACCATTCCTTCTCTGATACTAAGCTCAGTTTTCCATCTCTCCAAAACCTTTTCCTCTGCAACGAGGTTACTTTCTCTTTCGTCCAAAACTTTGTCCCTTGATTTAACACCATTCTCCTTTTCAATCACCTCCTTTTCCCTTCCCTGGAGAAGACTCTCCTTCGATTCTAGTTGAATTTCCCTCTCCTCCAAACATTTCACCAGAGATCTGAATTCCCTTTTGTCTCTTTCCCACAAACCCTTGATTTGCTCTTCTTGAAAAACTAAATCCTTCATCTTTTCATCTACAGAGTCTTAAATTATTTCAAACAGACCCCTCTCGATCTCTATCTTCTCCGATACCCCTCAAAATCTTGTACCCTTTATCAACCCATTTTACCCGGATCCATTCCTCATCCGACTTCAGTTCCTCTTCACTTAACCATTCAGTCAAGCAGGTCTTGGACGATATTAACTGATCCTCAAAATCCTTCCATTCGGACTTCACGAAACCCATCAAATTTTGAAGGGTCTCTTCCTTTTGTTGGTTCAGCAACTCAGCCTTGGATAAATTCTCCCAAATATCCATATCCCCGGGGAACAAGAATTCCGCCCGGTCAACTGCGATCACCAATACAAAAAAAGATTTGATCTTTGGACAATAACCAACGATTTCTTTGCGTACTTGGTACTTTTAGAAAAATGCGTTTCTGAAGCAGATAGTTAATGTTCGAAATTGGCCTTTTCTAGACAGCTGGGAATACAGAACGTCGGAATACGGATGATTAATGGTCCAAATGGGCTACCAGATATGTAGGTAATAGACAGTTTAAAGTGAAACAAATCTTCTGGGAAGTCATAAGAATCTTCAATAAAGTAATGCCAGTAAAGTAAAGGCAAATATTTCAGTTGAAGTTTCACAATTTATTCTGTGTTTCTATTTTCTGAAAGCTCTGTTTTTTGGATGGAACTTCGACTGTTTTGCTTCATTTGGTAGTTTGGGTGGGGATTCGTTTCACTTGTCATATCAATTATCAAACAACACACTATTACAACGTAGCTTGTGACATGGTGCCCATGTAAGAGTTTTTAAGGTTTAGATGCTGGTGTTAATTTATGAGAATCATGATCATAATTCATAGATCGTCAAAATTTAGAACGAATAAAAGTTGTTTGAACTCTTAGCGTTAATGGAGTAAAAGTAATGGACCACAAACAGATTACAGAATAGGAACGAATATGTTACAGTTCAGCTCTTTAGTTTACAGGTATATAGGGGTCTAAAATTACAAAAAATGTACTCGGATGTATGCTTGGACAAGTTTTTTCCCTTCAGTAAAAATGGAGGTTGAAGTACCAAACCTTTCTCCAAATTAATTTTGCCTTTACGAAGTGAAGCAGCTTGGATGCTATCCAGCTTTGCAGAATTATTTGATTCTTGTCTTGGAAAAGGAAAACAACAGTGGATTATTGGGGATGAGAAGAACATTGGAACATAACAGATTAGGTGACATCTACTAACATTTATTTTTATTATTCTTTTGAAACATAGTTACATCGAGCATCAATGACCATCAGTTGCAAGTTTACATTGATCGGCACATGTTTCTAAAATAAAATAACTTTCTTCGTCCTTGAAAAACAGTTAACATTAAATTTTGAGATCTGTGTATTAGAGCCTGACAAATTGGGATGACATCTAACATTTTTTTTTTTTCTAAAAAAGACATCTAACTTCTTTGACTATCAGAAATTGCTTTGCAAGTTTACATTGATAGCCATAGACACCAAAACATTTTAAAATAAAATTACTCCCTCCATCCATAAAAAATGCGTCAATATTGAATTTTGAGATCTGTCTATTAAAACATGACATATTGGGATAACATCTGACATTTATTTTGATTTTTTCGACAAAGACATCTAACTTCTTTGACCATCATAAATTGATTTGCAAATTTATATTTGCGGGCATAGACCCCAAAAAATTTTAAAATAAAATTACTTCTTCCCGTCCGTAAAAAATAATCTATACTTGACTTTTGATATTTGTGCATTGAAACATGACGAATTGGGGTGACATCTAACATTTATTTTGATGTTTCTGAATAATAATATATATTGAGTTTCGGTATTTGAAGGAGCTATTCTTAACAGGATCATGAGAAAATTATCATGAAGTAGAACAACATTGCTGGTGTCGCTTGGAGTTAAAAACTTAATTAAATCAATCGTTCAAGCAAGTATATATAGTGTATTAAGATTATGCAATGTTTTATGCAACATGCCTTACCTGTAAATTGTAATCCATCAGTCTCTTTTTTTTTTTCTCTTGCACCTTCACCCCGAAAATATCATTTTTATGAGGCACATTCTATCTCCATAATCTATTTTCTGCATTTTTTTTGGATGGCACTTTATCAATGTTAATACTTTGCTTCATTTGGGCATTTTGGATGGGGCTAAATTTTAAAGGGCATCCGATCCCCAACCATCAACCCCATTTATTTTATGTGTCGCATCAAAGAATATTGTACAACATTGATCATATGTACTATCATGTTTATATATACTTTTACAACTAGGAAAAAAGAACATAAATTGCCCCATTTATAAATAATTAACAAATGACACGAGAGGGGAATGCCTATAATGGAGCTGGGAGGTAGATGGTTCATTCATTTAAGGTTCAAGGTTGAATTATTTGGACGAAATTACATTTTATTCCTCGAGTTTGGACCCTTTAACATAAACGAACCTCAAGTCTCCACAAAGGCTACTTGATCAACAAAAGAAGCCCTAAAAAAAATAATAATACTTCCTCGGGTCCTTATTATAAGGTATTTTGATTTATCCTAAATTTCATCTAAAATGTCTTATTAATTGACATAAAAACTTTAAAAATATTTCCTACTAATTAAGTGAACACAACGAAAATGAAAATATATTTTTAAGGTATTCTGTTTAATTAAAATAACATTCTAGGTGAAATTTAGGTAACTTCAAACTTCAACTGGTTATCATTGGCTGGTGAGGGAGGGAGTTAAGCTTCAAGCTGCATCTTTCATATGGTCAAGGTTCAATGTACCACGGCCATTCATTTGTTGTCTGGGTGTTTTCGCATACTAGGTTGCTAACAAACGACCGAATGATGAGGTTGAACTTCACTGTAGCAAATCAGGATTGTGTACTATGTCATAATGCTCTAGAAACTGCTGAGCATTTGTTTTTTGAATGCCCCTTATCAGAAGGTTTGCTGGCTGATGTCAAACACTGGCTGGGGATACATGGATGGTCTGCTAAGCAAAGGGAATGGAGAAACAGAGTGCTGTTTGTCTGGAGGAGGACCAAACTGAAAAGACGTACAGATCATGTTTTCAGCAATGGCAGCAATGATATATCATCTTTGGGAAGAGCGCAACAGGAAGATATTCACACAACAGCAAAGAGGACTTGCTGAAATGCTGAAAGTAATTAAACAGGAAGTTAAATGGCGAGTAGAACAATGTTTAGGCATGAGATATAAATATTTTTGCAGGCTTTGTTTGGTTAGAATATTTTTGCAGGCTTTGTTTGGTTAGAAAGTAGTAGTGTACAGGTCGAATATAGATGGTTGAGGGAAACACTTTTGGATGTAAATATTTGCTCCAATTTTGCAGCTGCTTAATATGTTTATAGTTCACCAAAAAAAAGAAATTTAGGACAAATCAAAATGACTTATAATAAGGTGCGAAAGGAGTAATAAACAAAACAAAACAAAACAAAACAAAACAAACCCTCAATGACATGATCAAGATTGTCTTTGTTAACTAACAAAATTACCCTTGTTATTGTGTTACTTGCCTTGTTTCCCCCCTTTTTTTTTTTAATAAAAGTACCATTATTCCTTCTTAAAAGACTGAACAAAAGTACCATTATTCCAGGAAAAAAAAAAAATCAATTGTGTACAAATATTTTTTTTTGTTTGAAATTCGATTATTGAACAAAAAAGATTTTCGATCAATTTTGATATGAATTTTATATTGTAAATATGCATATGGATTCGACCTATTATTGGAGTAGTGAAAAAAAATCTTTTGCACTTAGCCTATTTTCCCTTTTTAAAAAATGCAATTTTTTAGCTGGATTAAACTAATTATTTTTCAATCCCAACCAAAAGTTCCCAGCGCTAACCCAACGTTTAACCCTGTCAACTGTAAAGGGATTAAAATAGAGCATTTCAAAATTTAGGGTTTGTTTTGTTGAAGGACAAAACTATAAGGGACAAATTGTAATTCTATCTCACCAGTGAAAATATAGTACTGTAACAGAATTACAAGTACAGTGCAAAAGTAAAAACAGAGCAGCATCAAAACAGTTTAGTTTCTGCTGCTGTGCTTTGAAGAGAAATCGAGAGAAACTGACTGTAAAATGATCACAGAACACAATGCTTCTCATCTGATCAAAGCTTCATCTGCAGAAATAGATTTTCTGTAAGCTTTCAGAAGAAAAAACCCTTTTTTCATCTCACCCAAAAACAGAGCTAAAAAAGACCAGAGAAACTCTGTCAAATTTGTTCAAAGATCAAATCTTTTTGTTTCCTCTTTCCTTTCGAAAAATCACCGTGAAATTGTTGGTTTTTAAGAGATGGATAATCTGGGTAAGTTATCTGATGCCATGTTGCTGAATGGAGAGAAGAGAGCTAGTCTTCGTGGTGCGTTGGATTTGTTGATGATGGAATCGAAGGATTGGGAGCGTCATTTGAAATCTGCGGAGACCTGTTTGAGAGAATGCTTGAGTGAGCACAAAATTAAAGAAGATGTTAGGCGCCAGAAATTATGTTTCGAGAAAGGGTTGAAGAATTTGGAGGAGAAAGAAACAGTGTTAAATGGGTTGTTGGAGAAGATAGATATGGAGAGAAAACAGTTTGGGGTACAAATTCAGGGCTCTGTTGATGAAAAGCTGAAGGAGATTGCTGTTCGAGAGCAGTATCTTGTGGATGTATTGGAGAAGAAAGAAAATGAACTCAGATGCCTGAAGGAATGTTTGGACAAAATGAAGGATGAACTTGCTTCATCAAGGGAAAGTTTGGAGACAAGGAAGAATGGCGTTGCCTCTTCAGAGGAATATTTGCAGAAAAGGGAAATTCAGCTTAAATCAAAAGAGATTCTTTTGAAGGAGAAGGAAATGGATCTTATTTCCAGAGAGGAAACAGTCCGTAACAAGGAGATTAGCATCGAGTCCAGAGACAAGACAATGACGGATTTGAGGAGTTCACTTGAGTTGAGGGAAAAGGTTTTGAAGAAAGATGAAGCCAAGGTTGATTCGACTAAGAAAAGCTTAGAGAAGCAGGCGAAAGAGCTCGAGTCCTTGAAGAAAGACATGGAGAAAACGAAAAAAGAGCTAATTTCAAAGGAGGATGATTTGGAAACACGGAAAGCTGAGCTAACTGGATTAGCTAGGGAAATTGAGCTGGAGAGGGAACTTGTGCAGTTGAAGGAAACTGAGCTTGCTACCAGGCAACAGCTTCTGGAATTGAGGGGGAAAAATCGTAAGGCGGATTCTGTTATTGATTCCCAGAAAGAATGCTCGGAGTTGGTGGAACATGATTTGGCTAAACATCATGAACCTGTGACTACCATCTTGGCAAGAACTCCAAAAGTCTGTGGGACAAAGATAGTTGAAGGCAATAACAGTTCAGGAAGTTCCAAGCGGAAAAGGTCCTCCAGAAGCGTAATAAGGCTGATCAAAGGTCTGGCCGCAAAGGAAAAGCACCAGCTAATCTGACGGATTACATTACATATTAAAAGCAGCTTCCGTTACCACAGCATGATCCTTAGGCCTATCAGGTTCAATCTATTTATGAATGGAAAAATGCAGTTATGCATGCAACTAAGAAAATGGTGTTTGTCAAGAATCAAGATCATAATGAGAGTAGCTTCAGTTTAATAGATATAATAATGTTTAACTTCTACTTAATGAGTAATACCAACTGTTTTAAGTGATCAAACCCGAGGCCGCTAGAAGGCAACTCACTTTGTTCTTGTTCTTTTCATTAGTCTTGTCAAGATTGTCTTAGGCAACATTGCAGATATTCCAGTTTGATCTTCCTTTTCGATTTTAAGTTTCAATCAATTTATTGAAATATGATGAACTTGCATATTTTTCCTCTCCCTAGTGTATTCTCGCAACTTGTTTGTTGGTTAAGAGCACTCTAGAAAGCAACTGATACCCCCCAGTTCCCTTAAGGAATTTTAGGGTCTAACATCAATCAGGTTGCTTGTGTGTTGATTGATCTATTAGATCTATTAGAAAACAACATTGGGATAGCGTTGGGGGACAAGAATCCAGGGGAGACCTATCATAAGTGAAATTCTCAATACGTAACATTTAATTATGAAGGGCAGAAGGGGTCTATTCATAACTATCATTGAAGTTCTGTATGATTAAAAGCAACTTTCTATCAAGAAGATGAATGTTCCTAGATCATGGAGAACATGGATGTTTTTGAGTATGTGTACATTGGTAAGTTAGGTTATGAAATCACCAAACCTCAACCTTGCTAACCTAGTAGACTTGATGATGATAAGGGAGTAATGGACGAACAACACGAAATTTTAGCTCACAGTTTGGATGATGAACGTCAATCACTATAACATGCACTTCACTTGGACAGCAATTCATCAGAATTGTCCACAACTGAAAAGGAAAAACAAATTTAGAAGGACATAGATGCAATGAAGTTGCAGAAATTGGAGCAGATGTTTTTACGATCTGTCAATCTGTAGCAGTACAGAATGGATTCAAGCTTTTCCAATCACAGAGTGGACTGAGAATTGAACCGCGGAACTTTCTGAGATAGTCGTAATAATCATAACATCTACAAAACAGAATTAAGAGCTGCTGCTAAAGATCAAGTAAAATGGATTTACATTGGGTGTTGGCTTTATATATAGCCCATCGCTAATCAGGCTACGCAAATTCCAAACATTTCAAATAGCAAAGTATCCATTTATTTAGACATACAAGAAAATTACAATACAGATAGTTTAGACATACAAGAAAGATTGTATACACTCAAGAACTGGAACATTCTAAATAGGATCACAATGAGAAAGATTGTTATCAGAGTAAAGAAGTGATGGCGAATGTTGCCCGCGTGCTAACAGTTGTCATTATTCTAACAACTAATTATCACTTGGATCTAAATATAGCATTTTATCATTTTATGCGTCTGGGATGGTCAAGTGTCATCCTACCAATAAACCAAAAGAAGAGAGGGAAAAAAACAGACAAAAAATCATTCCGCCAACTCTCATCTCTTTCATTTCTGCTCATCAGTCATTAGGGGAAAATGTTTTCGACCTTCTTGACGAAACCTTAGAATTGACCGCGCCATAAATTGAATCAATAAAGTGGGATAGTAAAAATACAGCTCAAACGAGCAGATTCAGGATCATAGAGCAAGGGATTGGAAATCCCCACCACAAAAACAAAAATGAACATTAAGGAGTGAGTGTGAGCAATATCCTTTATTATGCATTTGACAAAAACAAAGCAAATTAAACTAATATAAATAGAGGGGTGATTCGATCCATAAGCTGAATCTCAATAAATGACTGAAGGAAAACTGAAGGGGCTGTGGAATCAACCAAAAAAGATTTGGTTTTTTCTCTCTTTTCTTTGGCAATCATGAGATACGAAACCCGAAATGATGAAGTTCTGAATACAAAGTATACAACCATAGTGAGACACCACATTCATTTAGTTTTTCATTTAAGAAACATTTTGGCTTGGTTAAGCAATTCTTGTAATATGGCTACAAATCAAAATTCATTAAGCTTGACTGAGTCTGCATAAGCAAGTCAATAAACATCCTTGATCACTGTTGTAACTTAGAGCGATTACAAAGCTGTTTTTGCTTACAAAATTATCTCTCTGCCACACACACAAAAAAAGAAAGACATTTTCCACCTGGTTTTCTTTTTCCTCACCTCTAAGCATCTTCAACAATCTGCCACCAAATCCTAGCTTTTGATACAGTCATATGACCGTTCTTCGGCTGGTGGAAAACGAATAATTGAAGTCCACAACGTGCCAGGAATTCATGCATTCTCACATATATGTTTCCAGAATCAATAAACACCAAACATATGTGACAAATGTGGAATAGGTTTTTAGGAGACTGTTAAGGATTGCGAATCCTGATGTCGTTGAACACGTCTAAAAATGAAGCGCTCATTAACAGATCAATATATATATCTGAATGCTAAACAGAAAGAACAAGTTCTGAATTACAAGAATGTAGTGAAACCAGCATAAATCATGAGTGGCAACTTGTTATGCTTAGGCAACTCCTGCAACAATAGTCTAGAATTCAACAAGTTCTAAATTTCTTTCTCAAAAATCGCTCGGTCTTAAATACATCTTCTTTGCCCCAATATGAAAGTAAAACAGGATTCTGCTGAGGATGAGAGCAAACACAATGATTCAACTGATAATTGCCTGCACATGTCTTTTTGTTTCTTTTTCAATTACATGCTAGCTGCAGTGAAGTAGCAATAGGTCATACATATCCAAAACGAAACAAATAACCAAGTCAACTCAGCTAGTAGATACAATATATCAGAAAAAGAAGAAAAAGGCAGTAAGCAACTAACATATACTAACTTCCTTGTACTTGGGATTCATCCTTGGCAAACCTTGAAGACCTTCTTAATCCAGCATCATCTTGGTCCTAGCATAACACAAATCCAGCTGCTTCTTCTTGACTCCAAGTTTCAAACTTGGACACCTTCTCAACAGAACATCTCCCTGAGAACGTCTTCCAGAATTAGGCTTGGTCGATTTCTTACAGGAGGAAACACCGACTCTATGTTCCTTCTCTCTCATTGGGAGCTGATTTTCTTTCAACTCCAGTATCTCTTTCGTATGCTCAATTTCCTTGGCTAAAATGTCCAGTTTTTTCTTCCTCTCTTCCATCTCTCCAACCCATTTCCTCTTCTTCTCGATCAGCTCTGTCCTTGCATCCTTAACCTTGTCGAGATAATCAGAGATCAACTCCTCCCGTTCATTCAGTTCATCCTCTCTCACCAAAACCTCCTTCAAGATCGAACCCGCTTCCTCTTTTCTCCTCTCCGTTTCTTCCCGCCATTTCTCGAAGGACGATTTTATATCTTTCTGAATGTTATCCAGTTCTTGCGCCTTCTGTTTGGCTTCTATCCCATCGATTAGTTCATCGAAAACCCTTCTCATCGAGTCCAAATCCATTTCCTCCATCCCAGAAAGTTTCCCTAAAGATTCCATTAGTATACTAATCTGAACTTTTGAGTTTGGGAGAGTTAGGCATACAAAAGTTAACTCTGCTCTTAATTGCCCTAAGCTTTGGAGACTTTTTATTAAATACTACTGGGGAAGCTTTCACTTAGTTAATTTATCTATAACTAGATATCCGGTGGGTATTTGGAGGCTTTGGAGCGCAAAAGTTGAAGACTGAAGGGGGCAATTTGAAATTTTGAAACCAAAGCGGGAAACAACAAATCTATGATAGGTTTCATCAGAATACAAAATTTTGTAAAACTAGTTATTGTTATAATTATCTGATAATATGGATGTTCATAAACTAGTAGAGCTATACAAAAACTCTTTGTACAAAGATAATATTTATTAGATCTTTTCACCGGTTAGATGTTATCTCGATTTTCTCTTATCTTTGTATTTGCTATGTTTATAAAAGGAGACTAATCTCTGCAGAAATAATACACAGATTCTCTCTCTTTCTCCCTCTCTTCCTCCTTCTCGATTGTTTTCTCTCTCTACTTGTTCTTGCTCCCAACTTTATAGCTTTGTTCTTCACTTTATAGATTCCGTTAGGTAAGTGTTTTCAATTGTTTTTGTTTATTTTATCAAGATGTCTAACCTTGCGAAACATGAATTTGTCCCTCTTGACATATCCGAGACGAACTACTCGTCCTGGGTTCTTGATACTGAGATCTATCTCACTTCAAATGGCTTAGAAGAAGCAATCAAAGTTGGAAACAACGCCACAAATCAGGAGAAAGCCAAAGCCATGATTTTTCTCCGTCACCACCTTCATGAAGATCTAAAAGCAGAGTACTTGACGGTGAAAGATCCATATACTTTATCGACGAGTTTGAATGAGAGGTATGACCATCAAAAACTGTTATTCTTCCAAGAGCTCATTATGAGTGGACGCATTTGATTTTGCCAGATTTTAAATCTGTTAGTGAATATAATTCAACTATGTTTTGAATCACTTCCCTATTGAAATTGTGTGGTGAAAAGATCTCCGATGTGGAGATGCTAGACAAAACATATACCACATTTCACGCATCTAATGTACTTCTGCAGCAGTAATATCGTGAAAAAGGATATAAAAAGTATTCGGAATTGATTTCTGTCTTTCTTCTTGCTGAACAAAATAATGAGCTCTTACTGAAAAATCATGAGGCCCATCCAACGGGTGCTGCTCCATTTCCTGAAGCAAATGTGATAGCACCTCATCCTAATAATAAACAAGCTCGGCCGTGGTCATGGCCGGGGCCGTAGTCGTAATCAAAGCCGTCATAACGCCCGTGGTAGTCATAACAAAAATACTACCCACCAGAAGTTGGGAGTCATTGATAATAAGAATGGAAGAAAAAGAAAGACGGTGACAAATGCTTTCGATGTGGCATGTCGAACCATTGGTCGCGTATCTTTCATCCAGAATGATGTTGTTCATGTTAACCATGGTTTTGTTGACAATGGTATTACTGAATTCGATAATTTAGATGTTGCTGATTTCTTTGTCAATCACCCTGAAGGTGAAGTCAGTGCTAATAATGTCTTTCAGGGATATGATTTTTTCCTTAGAGATAGGTTTTATATTTTGAATTTGATGTAATGAATTTTATTTTCATTTGATGAATTTCAATAAAACACTTCCTATTTATGTTTATTTTATTGTCTATTACTTTACTTTTGTATTAAATAACGGAAAAAGTATTCTTATTTAGATTTTTTTTTTTACTTTTGAAGATAATAGATGTCGCAATCAGCAATGACAAAGAAATGTGTCTAGCAGATAGTGCAACAACACATTCAATACTAAAAGAGAGAAAATACTTTTCTCTTATAGTGTTAAAAAAATCCCATATTAGTACAATATCCGGGAGTACAAAATTAATTGAAGGCTCCGGAAGAGCAAATATAATAATACCTAAAGGCACTAAATTTTACATTAATGATGCATTATATTCTCCGAAGTCTCAACGAAATTTGTTAAGCTTTAAAGATATTCGCCGAAATAGATATCATATAGAGACTTGTTGTGAAGGTAACATTGAGTACTTGTATATTACGAGTAATGTTGTTGGGAGTAAAAATATCTTAGAAAAATTACATTCATATTCCTTCGGATTATATTACACATATATTACTACAATTGAAAGTTATGCAACGGTAAACCAGAAGTTTACTAATCATAATGACTTTGTTATTTGGCATGACCGGTTGGGTCATCCCGGTTCTATTATGATGCGAAGAATTTTAGAGAATTCTTATGGTCATGTTTTAAAGAGCTAGAAGATTTTTCAAGCTAAAAAATTCTCTTATGCTGCTTATTCTCAAGGCAAATGTTAATTTTGTCAAAATCTTCTTGTTGGTAGAATTTCACGTAAACTGTTGAAAGTGTCAAACGATTAAAATTCTTATTTATTTTCCTCCTCCTTTGTTCCTGTTTACCCACAATTTATACCTCATACACATTTTGGATCGGCAAAAGAAAAAAAAAAAACACCAAATTGGATCGAAAATTAAATTATGCTCTTGGGACATTACTTATACCCTACCTTATTCATACGATACACCAGAGGAGGTATTCGATGATTATATTCACAAAAGCACAGCAGATTAATGCTACTCTATCTTTCAAGGAAATTAATGCGCAGTGTCATGAAACTGACCAATTAAATTAAAACGTAACTTCTAAATTAAATATTTATGCGGGTATATACATCTGGAATTGTATTTTATGCATTAAGACTATACTTAAGTTGGTTTAATTAACTAGAAAGATGGGATCAAAATCAGTTTGCTCTTTCATTCTGGTGCTTTTGGTTGTGGCCTCGAGTTAGTCTTTTCTCTCTTAGACATTCCTATATTTGATTCTGGTCATCATATTCTGTATAGTACTCCTTCCTCCCTAGAAAAAAAATATAAAAATACATCGACAGATAACATCCTCTTTATCCTATATGTTGCACACATAAGATTTTCGTAAAATTTCATAAAATTTTCTCGCTTCTTTCAGTTATCCTGTGATGAAATTTTAACCCGAAAAAGGAAGGATGACTCTATTTTTTTTTCTTTTTTTTTTTAAAAAAAGATGATGATCTCTATTAATTAAACGAATACTGAAAGTTCTATCCCTAAAAAGTTCATTGTGGTGATCTAATAATCATGGAGATTTTTAGTAATTACAATTGTATTGAAATCAAATTAAATATGTATTTAATTGGTTAGATAAAGTATTCTTGTAGTATTATCTATTAGTCTGTCTGTTGCTGCAGATTACCCTCATGCAAGCGCTGAAAAATCATGTAACGATAGTGCTGATTGCTACTGGTGGTGCTTTTTCCTTCATCCCTTCAGAAAGTACGCCAACTGCCTGCTAAAAATTGATACAGATGGCAAAGCTCGTAAATGTTGTTATTGTAGCGATAAATTTTATGATAGTGATGGACATCTCACCATAATATCGCATCATTAGAGATGAATATCATTATTTCAATAATATTGTGACTCGGCATAGGTAAAATTATTGGTATATTTGAACATGTGACCTATGTTTCCAACAGAATAGTTGCTTTCTAAATAAGAAAACATGCATCCCATAAAATGTTCTTCAAGACTCTAGGCTCTAGCCATTGTTTCTTTTTCCCCTTTGATATGTAAAATTTGCTCAAAGACTTCTCTCACAACAAGAAATTCCGATTTCTGTAGTTACAAGCATAGCAGAATACTACATCGTAATCCTAGCACAAAAAGTTTGGACATGATTTACCTATAAAAAGAAACGAGAAATTTTTGTTGACTAGGGTCTTCTATATTCAAACAGTGAAAGCGCTTGGAAATAATGTCCATTTCACATGGGGAAAAAAGTGTTTATGTTAAACATGTTCACGTAATTCAACGCAATAAGGTAATCAAGACAAAGTGACAAACCATCTCGGTGGGTAGAACTGAAGAAACTCCTGAAAACTGAAAGGAAATTGATAAATCTTCCAGTCGCGGGAATATATGAGTCCAATCAAAACAAAAATCGTTCGTCATCTTCGTTTTCATCAATTATCAAATCAACGAAACTTAGGTACAAACTTTTTAGATTTCGGTATTTAGATTGTTGAAAAATAAGAGAAGCAGTACATCTGAAGTTGCCTATACAAGTTAAGGATTCCAACTTTGAAGCTGCGTTCACTTCAATCGTTTGATGTCATAATATAAGTTGATATGAAACATGTTCATGGGTCAAGTTGCAAGTAGTAATTCAATGAAAGAATTTAAATACAATAATCAGAAACATAAATATTAACTTCAAAAGATCCCTAGCTAATCCATTGGATTAATATGTATCATGGATAATTGCTGCAAGTTTTCAGCATCATCAAAGTTTATATTTCGCTCAACTAATTATGACAGAAAAGATATGGGCAGCAGTCAACATATTCTTGCATTTCTCGGCTCACAAAGGAACAATATATACACGTATACAACATGCTAGGGTTTAGGAAAGAAACCCTAGAGCTTACGTAATGACTGAACTAACCCTATACACATATAATTACATATATATCGTAACATCCCCCCCAACAAGGTGGAGCATGCGGATTCCGAATGCCCAACTTGGACAGAAAATAAGTAAACTGGCGCTGACCCAAAGTCTTGGTGAAGATATCAGCGAGCTGGGAAGTAGTAGAAACATAACGAGGAGAAATGACTCCCAGGATAAAAGCATCACGTAAGTAATGACAGTTGACCTCTATGTGTTTAGTACGCTCATGAAAAACCTGGTTAGCCACAAGATGAAGAGCAGACTGACTATCACAATGAAGGCACATAGGTTAGGAATGCCGAACACACAGACTCAATAACAAAGCCTTCAACCACTTGAGCTCACAAACAGTATTAGTCATGGCCCGATATTCAGCCTTGGCAGAAGAACGAGAGACAACGTGCTGCTTCTTGGTACGCCAGGAAACAAGAGAAGCACCGAGTGTAGTAAACCACCCAGTAAGTGAGCGCCG